GGGGGAGGGGGGGGGGGGGGGGGGGGGGGGGGGGGGGGGGGGGGGGGGTTGTATTTAACAATGAAAAGGGCTACTGATAGAGAAGAGTAGAAGTGTCCATGTAATTGACCTTAGATAATATGGCATAAGGTTTTGCTGGGTCCAGATGAGGTTTCTTGTCCATTTTGGCCTTGTTAATTTTTTACCTGATTTAGTTATTACTGTCTAATCATATGAAGATATCTTCTCATGGTACTTTTTACGAAGATATGTTTTAATTGTGCCATTCTGTTTCCTTTTCATCCGACTAAGCCCTAATGCCATGTATTAAATCCTCGTCCTTAAGAATTGAACTCAAAGTCCTAAAGTAATCACTTTTGTAGTAGTCCTGTTGACGCCTTTTGCTAATGAACAAGAAAGAGAAAGAAAGTCCAAAAAGAGAAGAATTGAAAGCAAGTGGAAATAAATTTTTATTACATCTAATTAAAGGTTGCGAATTACAATGACTGTCCTCTATATAGAGAGCAAATAGACTAAAAGAAACTAAAATCAAACGAACTTCTAACAACTAAAATTTTATCGGTATTTTATAACTAATCTAATATAATCTAAATTTTTATAATTGAAATTAAACTATATTTATAAAATCCTATTATAATTCTAACTCTATTGTAATCTATATCTTGATCTCTATTATTCTCCTCAATTGACATGACTTCGACGAGGTGCCTACATTGAACTTTTCACTACAGCAGATGGTTGAACTCCAAGGGAGACGATCCTTTCTTTCAACAAGTGTCTATATAAAATTCCAAAAAAGTACAAACTTATGCAACTCATCCTCAAAAACTTAAATTAGCTGGCACAAGGATCTTAATAAACTAGTAATGTAGATTGGTCTACAGAAGAAAATGATTACAACTTTGAAGGCTCAAATGGGCTCCTACAAAGAAAGATTTCTTTTGTACTGAAAATATAACTTTCATTCAAGTGTAATGGCCACGAAAATAAATTATATTTATGTGAGTGATCAAAAATCTTTTTTCTTAATGTATTTAGGAAATCAAGACAATAAGACATACCATAAAGATTATTAATCATTATTAGAGACTCCTAGCCTATATTGCACATCAAAAACAAGTTCAAAAATTTTATAATTAATAATGATTTGTCATTTAATTTGGCATGAGCTTTAGGAACTTTGACAACTAAAGCAGGAACTAAAATCATATGCTTGTAATTAGTAGGCAACAACCTAATAGAGATAGAAAAAAGTATGCAATCAAACAATGGCCTTGGAAAATAACGTGACAACCTGGAGCATATTATGTTGTTGAGGTAACACGAATAGGCAAGATCAATTTTAACACAAGATCGAGGACACATGGAATGTTTGAGTTCAGTATAATCCTCAATGATATTAGTGTTAAGTCTATTGACGACAAGTTTGATCACGATAGGGGACACAATACGCTATCTAGAACTCTCAACTTCTGTGTAAGGAGAAGAAATAACTTCACTATAATCATCTAAACAATTCCCTACCTATGTTATGATTGTGACAAATAAGGTTTGATCATGTCAGCACTTTTTTCAAAAAGTCCTTCCACCACGTTCATTGCAATAGGAAAAACCTCCTCATATGTCTTTTTCACACTATCCAAAAGAAGAGTAATCAAGTCTCAAGATGCTGTCTCTTTCTTCCAATATAAAGGTTATAATTGTCTATATAGATGTGATGGTATTACCCAGATGAGTTTTCTTTATGGCTAAAAGAAAATGTAAGAACTTGCCAATTATCATATGCTCACAATCTAGATCCAACATGATGGTAATGTTTATCACATTAGCCATAGTCTCTAGTATTCTAACTCCCTTAACATACAAGTTGGGGGATTTGTTAGTGAGAGATGTAAATGATCATATGATTGATGAAAAGATATCTTATAGTGTCTAATCACTAAAAGGGATGTCGGGTGTCGTAATACGAAATATTTCATTGAGCCAACAGGTAACTACTACTTGTTAGGGCTATAAATGGATCAGATATGGACCGGATCTACTCATATCCGATCCGATAATCCAATGGATATTAATTATTAACTCCACGTCCAATTTGTTTTGTTATCGAATATTCGATCCGATAATCCAATCCGAAATTAAAGAAATAAAGAAAATAAAATCAATTTTGAAATTAATTTTTTTTTCCCCAACTTTTCCAATTCTTAAATGGGTTTAATAATTATAAAATTTTCAACTATTTTAACTTTTAGCCAATTGGATTGAATGGCACAAAAAATTGCTTATCCATTTATTGACTCACTTATTTATAGAGGACATCTCCAAGCATTTTTTTATAAATTTTTATGTAGGATAATAATTCATTTGGTTTGACTGCAGTACATTTTACTTTTGATTTGGCTGTAGTGTATTGTACATTTGGTTTGATTGTAGTGTATTGCATTATATATAAATAGTTATTTATATTTTATTAAACTAATCTTTTTCCTATCTTTTACTAATTAAAAAAACTGTGAAACTATCCAAATAATTCAGTTAGCACTATTATACTATATTTTAATTATGGAATATATTTATTTTGTTAAGCTCTTAAAACTACATTTGGTACTATAATTTGTATGTATTATTAAATAATTTTTAGATTGATTAAAAATTTTAAATAAACTAAAATAAGAAAGTAGTTTTGTACGTTGTTTTGTGCTTAGGCTTCATCTAGATCGCCTAGTCTAAAACCTCGACTCTTCGCCTCGCATTGCACTTTTTAGAACATTGTGTACATCTGGATTGACTTTCTTTTTTTTTTTCTTTTTTTTTTTTTTTTTTTTTTGTTTTGAATTTGATGACTTTTTTTTTTTTAAATTTTTTTTTTTTTTTATTTTTTTGATTTTTTTTTTTTTTTTCTTTTTTTTTTTTTTTATGTTTTGAATTTGATGACTTTTTTTATTTTAAATTTCTTTATTTTCTCATTTATTTATTTTAGTGACAAATAATATGCTAAAAAAATGTTTAACTAAACTATTTATAACAAATCGAATTGGGTTATCGGATCGGATTCACCCATAACAAATCGAATTTGATCCATTTAGTTAACGAATTATCGGATTCGAATCTTGATCGGGTTATGAGATCGAGATCTTAAATTCATCTCCCATTAATTTCATCAAATTCGAATCAAAATCCAATCAATTGACGGCCCTACTAGTATAGAAACATCTTGATGTTTTAAGAACTCATCAATGCTGTGATAAGTGTAGAAGGAGATTGTGAGCATGAAAACAACAGGTGATTGGTACTTGTGAAAGCCAATTTTGTTATGTTCTAAATGTAGGAGTTCATTAAAAGAAAACCATTGTCGAAGATTTATTTATTTTTTGATTGGTCAACAATTGGATTCCTAACGTTTAAGAATTACGCCTTAGTATTTTTTTTTTTTTTTAATTATTTAAAGGAAATCAAAGTAACTAGAAAGTAAAAGCTATTTATTTTTTTATTGATATTTAATAGACCAGAACATCAGAATATAAATATATTTCCAATAATGAAAAAATGGTGTACATCTTGAGACTTAAAAAGAGACATGGTGTCCAAGTCATCATTTTCAAGCTAGCACGACTATGGTGGAATGCTGCAATTGAATTCTCTTGAGCTGTTGATTCAATGAATAGATCACAAGTTATGCAAATGATGTTAGAATTCTTTTTATTGTTATTGTTAACCTTTTTTTCTTTTACTTTCGTTTCTTTTTACTTTTATTTCTTTCAAAACTAGTCTAGTACAATCCAAATATTAATTATTGGAATTAAACTCAATTTATAAAATATTATTATAATTCTAACTGTATCTTTATCCGTATCTTGATCTCCATCATCAATATTAGTAAATTAAATAAACCTTTGTATACAATAAGCCTATCTTTGGTCCTCATTTTTTTAAAAATTCACTTTCAACTACACATGCCCCTTATAAAATAATATTACACGTAAGCCAAAAAAATTTCTTTCTTTTTTAATCACACATTCTCCTACAAAACAATATTTCAAAATGTATTTTGGCTCAAAAATGGGGCTCAAATCATCTCTAACTAGGCTTGGGAATGATTTGGGATGGGTTGTTTTGATTGCAACCCGAAACCAGTTTTGTTGGTTATTTGGTTTTTTTGCCCACCCCTATCTCTAATATTGAAAATAACTACCCAATTTTCTTGTGTTCCTAAATTTCTCCCTACTTTAGCTGAACTCTTGTTTTGTAGTACTAGGAGACTGGCATCACGTTATTTCGACTATCAATTACCATTCATTTTATTGCAGATGAGGTCGATTTAATTTCATTAGGTCAGATTGTGATTGGTAAGAATATCCACATTACCATGTTTCAAGGCTATATGTTCTCTGTTAGTTTCTCTTCGTTATTCGTTGAGCTATGCTTTTTTCTTAATTAGCGTATTGCTGCACTCCTTTCTACAAAGAGAAATCTTCTAATTTAATTCCATTGAATCAAACCCTCAACAGCTGCTCATATCATGGAGTAATCTGAATGGCTTTATATTGTTAGATTGTTGCTATTTTTCCTTCTCTACCAAATTTTATTTTATTTTTTAACTTGTCTGGTTTATTGTTGTGAAGCCTAGAAAGAGTTTGTATCTCCTGCAGGTGGTACATTGTTTTAGTATTGTGGCAATGCTCATGATAAGATGTTTCTTGGACTTCTCTTGGTCTAAGTGGTTTCATTGGTTTAGCATATGGACATGTGAAAACCATATAATAGACAAATGACTGCATATTAAAATTTGATTTTGCCTGTGTTTTCAAAATCCTCTCCTCAATCTGCATTAATGGTTGTGTTTTGCTTCATCATCTTACAGATTCAGACTGTTGCAAAAACTGCTGGTATGCATCGTAACATGTGGGTTGAAAATGCTGATCGCTGGGTTGCAGGATTCCTTGAGATGTTTGAGGAAGGTTGCCATAAAATGGTGAGCAGAAAATCTTCAACTCTTGGACATATAGGACCTTGCAGATACTTCAGAATCCAAACGTGAATGCATATTTTTACCTATCATTTTCTCAATTTGTGTTTCTTAGGGGACTGCCATAAGGGATCGGATTCAAGAGCGTTTAAGAGGGCAACAGGTCGGGTTGCTGCCAAATGGCCACAAGACTGATGACCATGATGAAGAGTTCTATTACGATGATGAGGCAGAAGATAATTATGATGACGAAGAATACTACGACAGTGATGAAAAGAAATGATAGTACCGTGTAATTTACACATTGGTATCTGCTCCACAGGCCAACTAATTTTTACTTGGGTACAATGTTAAGTATTGTAGAATAGCTTTGGCAAGTGATACTGCTGTAGGATTTGATTTTATCATTTTTTGTATTTCTTTATTCCCTTTGGTCGAGAATTTTCTATTCACTGGACTGTTTACATTATGCATAGGCGACACCACAACTTAGTTTTGTAGCTTGTGAAAGTTCTCTTTGCTTGTTGTTTTATCAGAATTTCTCTTTCTCAAATGACTTTTCTTGTCTAGATCTCAGCCCCATCATTGAAATTGGATCGATTGGCCTCAACCAAACCTCTATTTCACTACACAGGTTATTCTGCCTTTATGTTTTTTCCTAAGCACTTTGTTCCTTTCATCTCTAACATTTTCTCTCACTTCAATGATAATGTAGGGCTAATTGATCGACTTAGTCTCAGAAAATCATCGATCACATCGACGAAGGCATCCAATGCCCACTGATCGTGATGATAGTGCATCATACTCTGTGGAGGGAGGAAATATAGCTCTAACCATCTATTCTTGCTATGGATTTTGACTTGTTTTTTCACTTCCAAGTTCCAATGATGCTTGTTTTTGCTTATCAATTGATTTTTGGTTCTCTATATGATTTCGATTGTCATTGAAAGATGAAACTTTGGTAAGCTTAAACAACAAAGAACAAATGGTAGTTTTGAAAAGAAAAGAAAAAACATGATAAAATCCTTAAGATACATAAAATCAATAGATTATAACCAACATGACACTATAGTCTAGAGTGACAAACATTAGCACCATAAGAGAACGCTAGAAGTCCGGCGAAAGCCTTTGCAGCTCCTCATAATTGTATGTAAAGTGTAAACATCGACTACACCCCATATGTGAACAAACTATAAGACAAATGCATGAACGCTACTAACCAATAGAGAATGTAAAAGGGCTTACTAGTCACAATCCGACCTCATAATTTAAATAAAATAAAAAAAGTGTTCTTGTTCACCAAATCATTCTGAAATCGGTTCCATTCCATCCTTTTGCTATGGACAATGAATTCTTAAGCAATGCTATTGATTACATCCTCAATGAAAAGAGACTGAGCAGTGTAAGAAGATCCACCTTCTTGCAAAGCCATCCTGCTCTTGTTCTTCAATTCTGTCACCTTCTGTTTCATTTCATTCTTGCCATTGTTTCCCATCAACCTCAATATTCCCGACTCTATATCCTCTGATGGAACGAAATCCACAGGATTCTCCGCCTTGAAATCCCTCCTGTAGTCTATTCTGATAGCCTCCGCGATTCCCAAATCCTTAACCAATTGGAATGCATTCAGTTGTTGCTCTGCAAACATTGGCCAAGTAGCCATCGGAACCCCACACCACACACTCTCTAACGTCGAATTCCAACCACAATGCGACAGAAATCCGCCCACCGCAGGATGGGACAGCACGGCCATCTGTGGCGCCCAACCGATCACTTTCCCAACCTCTTTCGTTCTCTCTATGAACCCGTCCGGTAATACTTCTTGAGGATCATCATATGCTTCTGGAAATTCCATCTTATCCTTTGGAGGAGGCTTTCTTAAGGACCATAAGAATCTTTGTCCGCTATTTTCAAGTGCTGTAGCTATTTCCTTCACTTGACACTCATCAAAACTTCCCATACTCCCAAAGCACAAGAACACAACTGAAGACTCAGATTGCTTGTCTAGCCAATCTAAAATGAATTCGTCTGATTCATTTTTGGGGGAATTGTTCTCATTCAAATTCAATATAGGCCCTACTGGATAAATTTTTGGAGTGTTTTCATCAGTACTCAAAGCTTGAATAGCATAGGATTCAAGCTCAGAAAATGTGTTAACCATAATCCCATTTGTCTCTCTGAATTTCTTGAAATAGCCCAAGAACATCTTCGACTTGGACGCGTCCTCTACGAATACATACGGCAAGACCTTAGCCGGAACCGGGATCGAAAAACACGGCACGGGCAATTCAACATCAGAATTTTTATACTGTGTTAAATCCTGATTATGTTCAAAGAAAAGTGACACAAGATGCAAAAATAGGGACAAACAAGCAGCACCTGAAGTGAAGAAAATGTAAGAATTGAGTCCAAGTTCATTGGCTACATCAATGAATGACGTGCAGAACATATCTATAACAATTCCTGCTAACTGGGAATCAGAGGATTCCATCATATTTGAAAGTATATTTCTTACAAGAATCGCTTGGCTATCAATGAAATCAAAGAAGAATGTTTCTGATTTTATGGGCTTCAGCTCATCTTGGCCGGGAAGGTTTATTAGCCTGAGACGGGAGCTGGGATCGGTGGCGGCGAAGAGTTTTTGTGTGTAACTTTCTAGAACCGTATCATTGGGGAACTTCATGATTAAAACAGTGATGGACATGCGAGCATCCTTTTGGAGTAACAGTTTGGCCATCTCCACGGTGGACATAAGGTGGCTCACCCTTGGCGAAGGGATGAATACCAATTCTGCTTTCTTCATTATAGATTTGGTGGTAATGGTGGAGGTGGAGGTGGTGGTGGTGGAAGGTTGAGATAACATCTAGTTTGCAACACGATAGGCTCCAAAGGTGCTCTCACTGGATAAATCCGAACACACTTCTGAAAAAAGTTCAAAAATGGGAAAATAAAAGTTCGATTATTGAGTTAATTTACTCTATTAGTCAGTCAATGTTTTACCATTGTCGTTTATTTTCTATAATACGACGAATGTCATTAGTTCCTTTTTCAATTACTTGGAATATCTGCTAAGTGTAGGTGTAGAAATACAAGTGCAAAAAATATGTGGTTGATATCCTTAATGAAATGAGTCATAACTGGACCACGACGACTTTGGAGAAGACTGTCCCGACTTTTGATAAGGATTGCCAGGTAAGAGTGGCAATTTGAACTGTCAAAATTGAAAACAGCAGTTAATCGATCCGAATGGGATGAAAAAAATCCAACTGATGGTACAATGGAATGGATATGGTATTTGATTTTATTGACCCGGTTCGGGGTGGGACATGTATGGTATTTGAGCCGTCACCCCCCCCCCCCCCCCCCCAACCAAAACCAATTACCTATTAAAGAAAATTTGGACAATTGGACTTTTTATTATTCTTTCTAGAGGAAATTTCACCCAGTACACCATTGTTTAAAAAAAATTTCAATTTTAAATTTTATAGTTTTTTATTCTGGAAATACTGCAATTTATGCAGTACAAATGAAAATCTAAAAATTCTTTCTCTTCCCAATTAATCATTTAACATGCAAAAATCATGCACCAAATATCCATTTTCACTCACCCAAACCCCACCCAAGTCCACGCAGTTATCCCCCAATTACCACTTCAAAATTTATTACAAAGAGAGATGCAAACTGAAACTCCAGTCACACCTTCTTCAAGAGAAATCAAAACTGATCACCAAATCATTCCTAAGAAATACTCCTCCCATTCAAAATCGATCCTCTCTATACATCACCTTCTTAATTTTATTTAGTAAAATATGAATCCCAAAAATTGCTCTATTCTTCGATATTAACCATTATGCATGCTGTAAGCATGCCTCTGAATAGGGACAGAGCCAAAATTTTTATCCAGTGTGGGCACAATTTTAGATATCGGCCACAGTGATTTTTTTAGTCCGATTTTTAGTCCCTGCAGCTGTGGTTGTTGCTGCTTCTTCTCACTGTGGTTCCCATTTCCGTTGGTGCAGTGCAATTCAAAGCAGCCGAAGGAGTCACCAATTGTTAGAATTTCATGATACAGGACCATAATTTCGGCAAGAATCATCCATGAGTAATAAAATACTAAGCCTCCAAAAATTTACAATAGGCAATATTAAAGTATAATGGTAAACATTTAAAATTTTAAAATTATAAAATTATAAACGTGTTAACATTGAAAGTACAAGAAAGTAAACTTTTGAATTGAGCAAATATTGAGAAACAATATTAAAGTATTATAATAAACATTTCACAATATCTAATGAATTAAATCTCCATATTTCACAGTGAGTATCACCATTACTGCTACCTTCCACTAATAACATTACCTAAGTCAAATAATGCACAAATACAAAGACCCTGGCAATGGACCAATATAAAATTCAAATCCAATCCAGGACACAATTGCAAAGACCATGGCAATGGGCTAATTTAAAATTCAAACCCAATCCAGTCGACCAAAGTGCCCTGACACGTTGCAAGTTTGCAATTCCACTACTGTCTTTGACTGAAGTCAAATTGTATATGAAATATACATACACAATATACACAATCTTCAAGCTATGAAGAAACCAAGAAGATGCCCTAACTCGAAAACTGAAGTTCCTAGATGAAAAGTTGATTGACGGAAATAAGAAGCAAATTCAAGCTGGAGGAACGAATCAACAAAAGCATCCTTGAAACAGAGTGGAGAGAAAAGTTTGTAGCTGGAGACGAGTCGTCTAGCAGATTCAATCCTCCAGAAATTCCGGTGTGGGCATTGCCTTCAACTGCTGCAAGAAATCCCAGATGAGGTGAGGCAGATGCCTGCACTCGCCTCTGTGTGGCTCCGCCCCTGTCTGAACATGCCTTACATATCATGATATAAACTGTAATCACTCCAACAATGCCTTCAGTATTTTTACAAAGATTAATCAAAAACCTCATTGCTACATACTTCAATATTTCAGATATTTCAAACCCCACCAAATTCGATCTCAAGAAACCGATGTCCAATTCCATTTCCATCTTTACGACAATAGATATGTTCTATTTTCTTGTTTCATTTACAAGAAAGCCACATGATCTATCACTTTTAATCTATCCTTCTAAATTATGATAAGCGTAATGTGATTAAATTAATATGTGTAGAATTAATGGAATATCATTCATAATCTGAAATGTGTGAAAAAAATTATGTAATTTTCTAAAATCCCATTCATCTTAATCAAAAAAATTATGAAGTCAATTCAAAAGACGGAACCTATTTTGTAAGATTACATAGAAGAAGGACAGTACAATGTAATATCACCTGTTACATAATTTGATTGTTCAATTGACTTCATATGATTATCGATCTACAAAAGTAAGCAATAAAAGCTTATCAGTCGATGAAACTATACTAGAAGAGAATTTAACTGAGATACAAGTTTGGATTCGTCACTTCCACCATTGCTGCTCTTGTTACAGTAGCATTTTAATGATTTTAATGGTTTGAATTAGAATTCCCAGGATTTCAGCATTCTCAATTAATAAATTCTGTTTTCTATTATGTATCTAATTGTGGTTTCAATTATGGGTTAAAATATGGAAAGTTTGGATTATAGTAAAAGTGGGAATTTATTTTAGTAATATAGTAATCCCAACATTTATTTTAGTACAGTAGTAGAAAGTGAAATTTTATTTATATGTAGGGTATTTCTGATTTTTTCCCTTCTTTCTATTATAATTTGTCTAGCCCAAAATTTATGGTCCATTACTGACCCATTAAGTAACCCAACCCAATTACTACATGCCCACTAAATATTAACCCTACCACAAAGAAAATTGGAATCAAATTCAACAAGACATTAGCAGACAGCCGTCTTCACTCGAGTTTCTGGATTAGGTAGTATGGTTATATTATTACTCTACTTACATTTTTTATTTACTATATAGTAATCAGTTTTGAGTTTTGACGTATGCTAATAAGAGTTGTGGAGAAGAATGAAGATTAAACATGAATTGAGGTTGGAGTTTTTGAGTTATTAAGTAAGAATCAAGTTTGACGCACAAGGATCAAAGGACAAATATATTATTTAGTATTGTTATGTTGATAATATTGTTTGTTAAATTCGGATTTTGTATTTGAGAATTGGGTTATTGTTTGCATTTTCATTTGAGATGTTGTTTTCTACCTTAGCTTAGTATTATGTCTTCGTTTTTATTGACTTTTATTTCATAAATTGTTTTTTTAAATTTGACGGCTGGACCTATAAAAAATAATTTATTTTCGTAGTTATTAACAAATCAAATCGAGCTGAATCGAGATATGAACAGAACCGACTTACGTAGTTATGGTGTGGTTATGACATGGCAAAAAAAATTGGTGTTTCGGTGATGGTTTTGGTCGAACTGACCCTGAACTAAATCGTTGCCAGGGCTAGCACTAAGAATTAAGAGGCTTAAACGACTAATTATTAAGAGACCCTATACTTTAATTTTTTACAAGTATAGCAATGCTAATATTTAAATAAAAAATATATCTATATTTAAATGAAGACTTTGTACAATCTAAAAGATGAAAATGAAAAATAAAACATCTCTTAGAACCCGAGTGAATTATCCAAATGCTCATTGAACTTTCCAAAAAGTTTTCATAGGGCCACTGAACTTTAAGAATAACCCAATTCATCACTGAACTTTGCAAAACGTTTCCGCGGGGTCAATGAACTTTAAAAATCACCACATTCATCACTGAATTTTGCAAAAGATTTTCACGGGATCATTGAACTTTAAAAATCACCACATTCATCACTAAACTTTGTAAAAAGTTTCCATGGAGTTACTTAACTTTGCAAAAGTTTTTCGAGGGAAACTTTTTGCAAAGTTCAGCGATGAATTAAGTGATTTTTAAAGTTCAGTGACCTCGTGGAAACCTTTTACAAAGTTCAATAATGAATTGAATAATTTTTAAAATTCAGTGACCCCGTGAAAACTTTTTACAAAATTCAGTGACCATTTGGGTAATTCACTCAAAAATGTGAGAAGGATGCAAAATTAGTAATTGAATAACTCAAATCGTGTTTTTTCAACATTTTTTTTTTTTTTATAGAAATCATGGCTAATCTATTCAGCCTCTCTTATGACATAGTTGATCGAAAATAAGATCTAAATAATTTCAACTTTGAAAAATTATTTCAACCAACTCAACGTTGACTTGAATAATCAATAATACTCTATAAGTAGCTTAAGCATTTGCAAAATAACAATTCGTTTTCTTAATATAATATGACGCAGCTGTTGCTCCATTGATTTTTTTAGGTATCGCTTCCCTTAAAACATTTAACTCAGGAAATAATTTTGTATCATCTATGTCAGATACAATGTCATGCTTCAAATGATTTTCAAGATTAATGCAATAACACTTCAAACTAGCATCGTCAATAGATTTAAGATTTTTCAAATCAAATAAAAATCCAAAAATATCACAATGTTTCTAAAATCATATCATATTTCTGAAGCCCTGTATTTCTCAATTCAATATGTCACTTAAAATATCAAAATCATATCTACTGGGGGCTAACTTTTCAGGAGAAGGCAAGAATTTACAGTGGCGCAAGCTGCTAGAGTTACAGATATTGTTGAAGAAAAAATGGGATAAGAGAAGGCAATCAAATTCACGAAAATCGCTTAATCGAATAATGAAGAAAACGAAGGAAGGGCCTTTAGATTATAAATATACGAAACTTCTGTAGAACGCCGTTTACCAAAATCGAAGGCCCATCACATTTTTTGTGGCCCATCAAATTTTTTGGTGATAAAACCACTTATTTGTGGTCCACCCTTTTTGGAAGTACTAGTTTTTGAGGCCATAAGTTGGCCCCATATTTTTGAAGGCTAGGGCAGGACCTAAAGGTTGCATATTAGCTCGTCCAAAGTACACCTAATAATATAATAAACCACAAAGAATAATGTT